TCGATCATCAGATATTGTCCAAGATTAACCTTCAGAGTGGATATAGCTCGCTAGCAGCCTCGCACCGATGACCTATCCATGTCATTGTTTACCCAGAATGCTTTGTGTGTAAATAAAATTGCCCCGTCCGTGTAATATATTTTTAAACTTTTATTTTAAAAATTATAAAAACTAAACATCCTACAGTATTTTTACAGTCTTTATTTTACAGTTAAAATACATGTTTATCAAATAATGTCTAATGTTACAACTAATTGGGGATCCCTTTAACCAGGTTGTCATTGTAAATGAGAATTGGTTTTCAACTGACTTACCTGTTGAAATAAAACTTTTTACAAAGGTTGAGATGCTTTTTTGTCCATGTTTTGCATAAAAAGTCGACACTGTTTTTAACCATAGTTCTCCAAGTTTTCTAAATGTCTGTTAAAGTTGTTGTGTTTCGATGGTTTTTCCTTCATTTTGAGCCTTTATGAACATTTTCAGAGAAACATGTTTTATATTTAAGACCACATGTCAGTGGTCTTTCTCCACTTTGACTTTACTTTAAATATGAATCAGATTTGACTTGAGTTGTCATCGGGAACACTGTTTCAGSAGGGGAAGCTGACATCCGATAAACTTTGTCATCACCCAGACAATACGAGCCTTCATCTCTTTTGTTTCCTTGTCGTTCTCTAGAGAGGCCGTTTGAAGCTATTTCATCCTCTTTTCCCCCCTCCAAGATGCGGTGAAAGCAGCGATAAAAGGCCCTCTTACTGAGACCACRACCAGAGGTAAAATAACCATAAAAATCCTTTCAAAGACCGTCTTAAAGGTTAAACAAACCTTTTTATTTTGGCTTCTGGGCTCTTTTGGCCCATCTGTTCTCCAGGTTCTGTCTTTTTATCCACCTTATGGACGGAGGGCATTAAAGGCACGTTAGGCTTTGTCTTTTCTCGCTGGAGTGTATCGTGCAATTATCTACACAAGTTGAGCTTCCTGACTTTAGCAGAAAACCCACCAGTCCAGTAAAGAGGCTTCATTCTCTCTTTCCCCAGAAGCTCTCTGCAGCAAATTCTAAAAACTGAAGGGAAAGTGTAATTATGCTGTCTCGGTGCATTAGCCCAAGCAGCCAGACTAAAAGATGGACATTTTGAACGGGGGCAACGATCCCTTGGAATTTACATATTCACCCTCACGAAACTTTTCCCTGATGCAATGAGCAAATATTATTCCACCCCAGTCCAGAGTAGGCTGGGCTATCTGCTCCTGAATGAACACGTTTATTACCGTTAGCCTCAGACACAGAGAGGGATGTCAGTCACCCGAAGTGGTAGCAGACAGGCTGCTGCACCAAAGATTATGGTTTGACTCAGTGCCTTCAAAGCCATTAACTTGGCAGGTCTGACTACACGGGAKGCTCTCTCCAACTGCCGCTGAAAAGCGAAACGAGTTGAACATGGAAAAGTGTCGATGCACTTCCCACAAATAAATAATACAGTGTAAAACCAAGCAGTAAATCCCTCTTTCAGCCCTCGATACATGTACGGTAAATGTAGGGAAGATGACCGGGTCATTTCGGAGGAAAGTCTTGAAGAACAGAACTTCATGGGGATCCCCTGCAGTAAAGCGTCTCTTAAACAGGATCTGGAATGACCTCATGTGTGTTGTTGGCTGAGGTTGGTAAAGTACCCAAAAACTGTACTTATGTAAGAGTAGCACTACTTCAATGTACTTTTACTCAAGTAAAAGTAAAACCATCCAAGAAGTGACTCAAGTAAGAGTAGCACT